GAGTGTGCGAATAAACTTTTTCTATATTTTCTTTTTCGGTATGTTTCGCAACCATTCTAGTAGTTTCATACCATTCTTCTTCCACCATTTCTTTATCGTAATGATATAAATAATACCAACCCTTTAAAGATAAAGATGGAGCCGTTAGATTATTGGACATATTCTGGTTTACAACTTCTTTCGTGACTTGGTTGTATTTTATCAAACAAGCTCCCAAACAGAGAGTGTCTCTCTTGGCGTAAGGTTCCCATTCGTGTCTCAATTCCTCCCAGTTGTCTTGCGTGTATTTAGCGATATCTACGTCTGCAATCTTTCTCAAATTCGCGGGAAGATTGGAAGAATTTCCCCATGCATGGATTAGATAAAGGAAAAGATAGAATTCCTCTGGGTGTTTTTAAAGGGCAATGCGTTAGTTTTTTTGCATTTTTAAGCACGATTCGGTTGTCGAATCCACTACCGTTATGAGAAATTAATATTAATCTCTTTCTATCATATTGACCTAAATATTTCAACATTTGATCTATACAATCTGTACCTACAAATAGTTCTACTACATTCATTAGTTTATCATGAAATTCTTCTGGAACATTATCAGTAGGATTTATATTTGGAAAGATATTTTTTATCGTTTCTAACTTTTTTCTTAGTTTTTCTAAATTAATTTAGGTGCAGGCATAAGGAATTGCTCTTCGAGTGTCTTTTTCTGAATACGTTTCGCAATCCCAAGCGAATAACGCATCATCAATCATACTCGAAATCACGTTTAGTTGAGGGGTGAAACCTGTGTTACTGCGTTATCGTCTCTACACGTTTCCACACCTGTTCGTAATTGTCTTCTATTTCTTGAATTCCCAAACTTTTTTGGTTTCTTCTAATCAGACAGAAATGCGAGTTGTGTAAGTAAAAAACCCAATCTAATTCATCGTGAACGTCTCTGGGATGAAAATGTCTGTTTTTGGGATTATAAATTTGAAACGAAGTGTTAAATTTCTTGTTGAGTTCCTTCATTCTAGCACAAGTCATCACTCCTTTTCTATTTGCTTTTGAAAACCCGTTGATGTATTCTTGAGATTTACACGTTAAATCTTTGTTCAAAACACGATTGACGCATTTGATAAAACAGTGACCATCTGTAGGTATGTAACAATTTTCGCCTTCGTGTTCATTTATCTTTTTAAGTAGATCAGTTCCTCCTCTACCAACTCTCGATCTTTTTATTTCTTGGAAATTGTCTTTCATTAAAATTATTTTTCCTGTAAAATACCAATCGGAAGCATCAGATTTTTTGTCCATATTTGAAAAGATATTGTGAAAAGTTTTGGCATTGAAACCGAGGAGTGACATGTATTGTCTGTGATTCCCTTCCTCGACTATCTCTCCATCTATTTTAATTTATCCTTTGAATGTTTTAAATTTTTCAGAGATAGCCTTGATAACATCGGAAAATAGGGTGTTTTCTATCAATGTTTCATCATGTTCGATTTTATTCATATTTTTTTAAGTATATATTTTTGATTATTTCTTTATTTTGACCGCTGATATTTCTATTGGAATTTGTCCAAAATTTCATTGAATTCTTTTAATTCTTCAACTGTCATGTTCTTGTCTTCTCTCGATCTTTCGAAAAAGATGTACAATTGATTAAGATACATATTCAAGATATCCGTTTTCTTTTTATAATGAGCTTTCTTTTTGCTCGTGAAACCTAAAGTGATGAGGCCGCAAGAGGTCGTTTGAACGGCTGTTAATGCAGCCAATACGGTTGGGACGATGACCGGAAGCATTAATCCACCAGTCACGGCCGTTGCCACCGTTACTCCTACCGTTAGAACTGTGCTCGCTGTTTTGAAAAAAGAATCGATTCTACTCCATGTTTTCCTGCATGTATTGCACTGTCTCAACTTCTTGTTTGTCTATCATGTATTGTTGTCTGCTTTCGAGTTCCATTTTTTAAGTCGTTAAATTAAGTGAATTTCCGATAAATAGAACCACGGAATATCGTATAGAACGTTGTTGTTTGGCCTAGAATTATTTTATTCGTGGGTATTAAAAATAAAAACATTTACGCGTACTAGCGACATTTCTTTTTTCGTATGGTACTCTTTAAGATGATAGGAATATTTTATTTTTTCTTTAATAAAACGATAAATGCACTATAAACTCTCTTTCTTGTTGACTTTTATGAACATCGATCGAGGTGTATTTTTCACCTAAAGCGAAATACAGTTTTACGTATTCAAAGTCTGTTGTTCGTAAAAACTCGTGACTGGTCGATTCTATTTTTCCGTGTATGTGTAAGCGTCGTGGAATTTTGACAATGTTGGTTGATGGTGGATTTTCCGTCTCCAATATCATATCTAAATCTTTGATTTGAAATCTATTCATATAATCATTTTCTACTTCCATTTTAAAGGTGTCTACATATTTACCATTTTTCGTTTCAATTTCCTGATCCCTTTTATCAATCAAACGTTTATTCTCTTCCAAATTACCATCATTGAATAATGAAATATGTTTGACGGCCTTACCGGTTTGTTTGAAGACTACTTTATTGACTTTAACCTTCATGGGAAACTCTATTTGAATCAGACAATTACCTCGAAAAGAAAACTCTTGCGTTTCGCCGATATCGAATACGTTTTTAGGTTCTCCGTATGCGAGAGTACCTACTTTTATTTCTGCTTTGAATCCGTATTTGTTTGATTTATAAATTTGGTCTTTTTCATCGAAGACAGTGTCACTTTCGAATGGAAGATTGAAATAATACGATTTGTCCGTGACAATAGCTTCTAATTTGCTCAACTTTTTCTCTTGTCTCAAAAAATCGTCATGAATTCTAGATACCAAAAGATTGACCTGTTCTTTAATATAATTTTTCATATCATCTCGAAATTTATTTGGAAGAAAGTTTTTAATCACACCCACTTCTTTTTCTAATTCGTCCGTGATTTTAGTATCCAAAGCAGTCAATTGTCGTTTCAACGTATCTTTGTCAATGGGAAGTGTGTTAATTATATCTTGAACATCTGATTTTTGCTTCGCGATCTTTTCATTCAATTTGGATACTGAATTTTGTAACTCGGTTTTTTCCGCGGTCTTGTCTAATTCTGCTAGCAATTCGCCAAGTTTTCTTTCCAAAGCGGTTAGTTTTCGTTTCAATCTATCCTCGTTTACATTTGGGTTGTCTATTAAACGTTGGGCGTCTATTTTTACCTTCGTAATCTTATTGTCTAATTTAGATATTAAATTTTGCAACTGACTTGTTTTATCCACTTGAATAAGACGTTTCAAACTCGTTTACTCTTGTTGTAGTTTGGGTTCGTCCACAAGATTTTTAATATTTCGTCTGAGGTATCTTTTCATGTCAGTTATTCTATTTTCAACATGATCCTTATCTATTTGAATTGCGTTTATTTGATCCAGTAAATATTTCTTGTTCACGGCATCGTTATCATTTCCTGGAAACTTTAAATTAGTTATTTTGAAATTGTTCATATCGATATCCCCTTGTAAGGTATCTCCGATTTGATCCACGAAAAAAGGTTTCTCTTTGTTTATAAACGCTGTCATGGGATATTTAGATTCTAGAGGTAAAGACCCTAATCCAAACTTGTTTGCCATTTTTATTGAGTTAAATTTATTATAATTTCTTCAAACTTTTCTCCCAAACTCAACCGATATAAAACCCAAAGCGACAGCTGTCCACACGGCTTTTGTCCTGGCATTTGAATTTGAAACGTAGAACATTTGATTGGCTTGATGGTCAATTTCGTTATCTCTTCTATTGGTTCTAGACCGAAAGAAGAAATAAAAGTTATTCGAAGAATCTTTGTGTAAAGCAGAGTGATGAACTCCATTTTGATCCGAAGTATGAATGTTTGTGATGGCGTAAAATTTACCTTTTTTGTATTTCAGTTCATCAATTTCATCTCGCATGCAATAATAAACGGTGATACGTTCAATTCCTTGGCCCATTTCACAAGTTGAAAATTTGTGGTCGTGTCTTTTCCGTATTTATTGAGAAATGCATTCATTTTTTAAGTTGATTTTTTTTAGGTGTTTTTCGAAGCAGGCGGTAAGTATTGCTGAAGACCCAATTGACGAAATATATATGTAGTTCGTGTTTGAAAAAACTTGTATAACATTCTGATAAAACACATTCAATAATATTTTGAAGATAAATTTACATTTAAATTTAAAAAATCTTAATTTAAGAGAGCGTAAATGCTTGTCGACATCTAAATTTCTTAACCTTTCATCTAAATCTTCATTTTCGAGATTCATTTTTAAAAGTCAGTTTTTTGAAGTTCATTTTGATAAAACCTTCCTATGATTTGTTCTTTGTCTTAGTCGATCAATTCATACGTGGGAGGTGATGTGTTGTTTACTTTATCAACGATGAATATCTCGTTAGTCCAATAGCCGACGTAACCTTTCTGAAACAATGATTTATATTTAAAAATACGAACTCGATCTCCAACTTTGAATTTGGGTTTAATATTCAAATTGCTAATCTCGTTTTCAAAGTTGTTTCGAGTGTTGACGGACTTTATGATATTCGGGTTATTAGAGGCTTGCGTTGGCGTCACACCAATAGACGAATGTATTTTGTTATTGTATTCGTTTCCTTTATCAACCCACAACTTTGTATTCGCTTCCTTTATCAACCCACAACTTTAGGGGTCGTCTGTCGGATTGTTTCATTATGGTTTCGAATGCTTGTTTGACAGTCAGACCCGATTTGTTTTTCAAGGGAAAGACCCAAGCGTATCTCGTGTATATGTCGATCACCGTCAAACAATACTTGTACCCTCTCTCGACTGGCATGTTGATTAAATCGGCTGACCAAATTTCATCTTTATCAAAAACTTTGACTTTGAGGTAATGTTTGTTTTTTCGAAATTCTTTGTGAATCTCGTCTGCTATGCCCATACCCAATTTCAATTTTGCCTTCAAGAGTTTTATGATAAGAGCCCTCTGTAATTTCTCTTTGAAAGTGGGATTGGGAATATTTTCAAGTTCGTCTATCATTTGTTTGTCTGCTTGGTGTCTGAATGTTATGTCTTTGTTTCTGTACAGTAAGTCGTGTTTGAGCGCTGCTGCGTCAACTCTATTAACGGGTTCTTCCCCTGGTTTGGGATTATCATTTTCGTCTAAACGCAGATCTAACCTAGTGCCTGGACCTGTATAATTGTGCCCTGGGAGATGTTTTTCTCTGGGATATTTTGTTCATGGGAATCCAGGAAGAGAACCCAATGACTTTTGAATGTCTCCCGCACCGAAATACGTTTTAGGAGGATGGACATTTATTAAAGACATATTTGTTCAATAATGAAATAAACACCATATATTTTTAATACGAAAGATTTAATACAAGGAGAAAACTATTCAAGCGATAGAAATGAATCATTAGATCTTTTCACTGCATCTACTCCTGAGGAAATTTGTTGTTTGAGACAAAATTGGCCACTTTGGGGATGAGAGATGTTAGCGCAGAGAAGAAACCGTCTCCTTCGAATTTTTTTTGTTCGTGTTTTAAAATTAAAGACATTTTTTTTTTTTTTTAATGCGGTTATTTTATACTGTATTATTATAGTGATTCTTGTCTGTGGTTTGGGTAATTTATATGGAGTTTGTTATAATATATTTTTAGCAGTTTGAGGAGTCTGTTTTGATACATTTTAATAGTTTGGGGAAGCCTGTTATAATATATTGTAACAGTTGTGTCTTTTCGGATATGACGCATTGAAAAAGCTGCGCATGCGCAGAAGTGAAATGCGTCATATCCTAAAAGACATATACCTACCATCTCAAAAACCAGATCAAACTGGATGCGCAATATCTGAAAAGACATATACTACTGACAGATCTGATTATCTACGTGTGTTCCTTTTGTCACTTGAATAACTTAGAGGGTTATCGTGATGCGGTATAAATTATTTGTTTTATTTTTACAAATCGAGAATATTGAGCTGACAATTCTGGAGTGTAATTATATAACTGATTTATTTATCAGATACCCGAAAGTTTTAATTTCTTGTTCAAAAATTGTAGGCTTAAAAGCACTAGGGGCAGAAGCTAACCGGCCAGAAATTTCAAAGGTTTGAAATCCATCGCATACGGTCTCGTTGCCACGCTCGGAGTTGTTCACAGTTCTAGTTAAATTTAATATAGAATTCTTTCCTCGATTTTTTTGACTATCAATTTACTCTTTGTTCTCAGACCTAGGCCTGTTAAACCTCGACAAACATGTTATCTAACCTGTAAGGCTTAGATGCATTTCAAGAAATATCTCTATGGTCTCTATTACATCTAATAACCAGTATTGACTAGTGTTGACTATAGTTAAGGGCGGGAACTTAAAAAGTCTTTGCTTAAATCGCACAAAAATTTAATCATCGGTTCTTTGGAGAGTTAAATGGCCACAAATACAATCGGGGTTTGGTAATATCAGAGCATGTTTTTTTTTACCTCCAAACAGGTGGAAAACATCGAGTTTGAAAAGTGCTCAGGAGTGCAAACCATGCACAGGATGAACTTGAAAGTTGAAATCAAATACTTCAAATGGCTATAACTTTTCCTATTTAAAGAGAGGTATAACTTTTATTGGCATCAGATGGTCATAGTTTTAATTAATATTTTCTTATCCCCCTTATATCAACAATTACAAGGACAGCTTATCTCAAATACTGTCAGATACCACCAGATATTGTCAAAATCTTAATCTGCAACCATATTAAATGAAAGAAGAGCAGTTTTAGTATCAATGTAGTTTTTGATGTCAGTATGAAAACATTGTTTTGTGTTGTTATTTTGGTGTTGATAGCTGTAATTACCTCTCAAATATATAGTAGTAAGTATAAACCTCAGCTTCAGAAGGTCTTGGTTTATTAGGGTGATTGAAAGTTGCTATTCTGAAATGAAAATTTTACGTGCTACTTTTATGCACCATACTATTCAACTGAAGGCTAAAGGTTATAGTTTTGCGTACAACTTTTGAGTTGACCTCATTCACAGTGCCGTGGGCTTTTGTTATGTTCTAACGAAATGTTAAAGTTTGAAATATGCTGTGACTTTGATATATTAAGTGGCATCACTGGAGTATTAAAATTCATTTCTGCACTTTCCATGCATGGTCAGACGAGATTCTTCTTTAGATGGTGTTCTGTGAAAAAAAAAAATTCAATTGGCACTACAAGTCAGATGTTTAACAATGGATACCGTAGAATTCATCTTAATAAAGAAGTATTTCATTGCACAGAGCACTTGATTGACTGATTATTAAATGACCCAGAGCAGAAGATGCATAACAATTTCGTAAGATCATGGCAAGTCGAGACTCCAAAAGAAAAAATCCCGTTTGTAATCAATTCCGGATTTATTTCTTCGACTTTTATACGGGTGTTGCAAGAAGTACGGAACATTACACCGAATAATCCAAGGTGGAAGTTTACTGCAGCAATGGTCAAAAAATGATATTAATTTTGAAGTAAAGTATATTTTGTAATTATCTCATTTCTCCTTGTGATTTATTTCCGTTTTTCAGAAAGAGATGGTTGTCGAGCCACAGCTCTACTTCTGTGTAATAATGGTAAGTTATCAGTACCAGTGTTTTATTTCATTGACAATCAGCGATTGAGAACCAGATGTCGAATTTCTATTCTGAAAAGGTGAATGGCTAAAATTTATCTGAGACGGTCGTATCCATATCAAAAAACAAAATTACATTATATTTTAGGCAATTCAGGTATGAATAATGGTGGAATGTATCCTGGTATGAATAATGGTGGAATGTATCCTGGTATGAATAATGGTGGAATGTATCCAGGTATGAATAATGGTGGAATGTATCCAGGAGGCAATTACCCCGGTATGGGAATTGGTGGTGGAAGAGATTTTCTAGCGTGCTGTTTGGCTATGTGCGGTGATGACTGTATTGACTAAAGCATGCAATATGCAATTGACTGGTTCCTTTTAAACTATTTTATTCTGGAAAGAACTTCTGAAATAAAATGTACTAACTTATCTTGATTAATCAAATTTAGACAAGACTTGAACCAGCAAAGTTGAAATGTTTTCGATGAATACTGAGTAAGGTCGATATATATACTAGTCATCCAACTTCCTTGGGTCCTGACCACATATTCTCGAAACGATCTTAGCGCTAGGATGTTCTAGAATCAATGTTAGTAGATAAGAACCTAGGACATCCCAACGCTAACATCGTTTCGAGAATACGTGGCCTGTTTTCCAACGTTGAGAGTATCAGTGACTTTTCAAAACTTTTACCTTCTTGACTGTGCCACCAATGGTGGTGAGTCAATGAGTGGGATAATAGGGGAAAGGATAAACGACTTCTAAAGACTAGAGGCACATTTCTCTAAAATTTGGTTTATAGTTTTCATAAATTTGAGCCAAACAATTGTCGGAACTACAAAATTAAACCAGATTCCCCGTTTGACAAAGGAGTTGCAAAACCAGAAGAAGGGAAAAGCATACCACTCGACTGTATTGTGGTAGGCCTACTGTGTAGAGCACGGGGATATCACATTGTATTGAATTACTTTTCAGACAATTGTAAATTAGTGTTGAGCATTACCGTAACTTTCAGTTTGTTAGTATCACGTGACTCTGAGACCTTTAAAGTTTTGGCTTCTCACGCAGTTTTAAATGGCCTATGCAAGATCACTTTCGTTAAAAGAAACTTAGATGAAACCGGAGACGTAACATAAATGGTGTAGGGATATAATGATGATATCACTGACCTACAAAAATATTTATCTTTCCAAATATATCTTGGTTTTGCAGATCGGAGGTATCTAAATAGGTTTATAAAAACCCCACCTGTGGAGATCCGGAAAATCTCTGTTTAATGGCGCTTAGTTTTTCTCTCCCTACACCAGTTGACATCTGTCCAAATAGCTATCAGAGGCTGGAATAAGTGAACAAATGATCCATTAAATTGATGCTAAAAGTGACATTTTTAATGGCTGATGCTGATATACAATCCAATTCCAGAACTGGGTAACACCAGATTTGCAGTACGTTATGCCTAGGATAAAGAGCAGATTTTTTTTACAAATCAGTTACAAACAAGAAGTTTGGTTTCCATTTTGAAAAGTTCTACAGGTTTTTAGAAATAAAGATCATAAAGTGACAATATCCTTTTTTATTAAGATTCTTAAAGATCAGACTATAAGGCATATACTAGAACAAAACAGAAATTAAATATAAACAAACACTAATAATATTTTGTTATAGCTAAAGTACTTGATGACAATATGTAACAAAACAGTCAATAATAACAAAACAATAAGGAAAAATAAAAATACTCTGTGTCGAAAATGACAAAACTAACAAAAAAAACTCAAAAAAACAATTGGATTTCAATGCTCATTCCCAACCTACTCTTTCACCTAATGATAAATATTCAAGATCGATGCTTTGCTTTCCACTATTTGCAGGACTTTGCAGGATATTGTCATTCAGAAATTAAACCCTTCTTCTTATTGGTTAATAATTTCATTATAATAAATTATGAGCCACTGGATACAAATGATGTAAGATCATAGATGGAGGGTGTAGTAGCCTACAGATAAAGTACAAAAAATAACAAATAATTGCATTTTAATCACATTTCTCAGATATAAATTCCAATCAAAGAAAACACAAACACCACATTTACACTCTTAATGAAATAAAAAAAAAACTTAATATAATTTAAAATAATCAAAAAAAAAATACAAAAGAGAAAAAAATAATAAAATTATGTAAGACTCCTGGCCTCATGATGAAGATATTAGAAAATCAACTTTATCTTTTACCATTTTATCGTTACACCAAAACAAATTATTTACAGGAACAGATTTGCCAATTTTAGGTGTTGATTTCACTCCATCGTTAGGATGGGGTTTGTGGGGGCTGGGCCCCAAGAAGTGAGAATTAAGCCGCAGTAAAACCTTCTTCAGGTCAGCAGAGATTGATTCATTAACAGTATAAAATCATTATTACAAAATCAAAAAGATATAGATTTTGACATGTTTTTGGCACCTCAAAATTGTCAAAAATTAGGTCTGTGGACCTTTAATTTTTCAAAATTTCTGTGTACTAAATCTGAACCCCAGCACCAATTTATTCCTGGCGACAGAGCTGGTTTATTTGAGTCTTTAATTTTTTAAAAACATCTCAAGAAGTACTAAAAATATACGAAAATCTCTTATTTCCTTAAAAATAACCTAAAACTAAGAATTTCACTTTCTATTTCTAAATAGTTACAAATCGTCTTTTTAACTTTCAAATAAGGATAATTCTGGACACACATTTGATTATTACTTATTAGTTTAGCTTAACTTACTTTAAAAAATTTGTACAATTAGTGAAAGGGTTGTGAGACATGTCCTTTTAATAAATATCTACCGGTATATTATACATTTACTTCAATTAATGATACATTTACTTCAATTAATGATACATTTACTTCAATTAATGATACATTTACTTCAATTAATGAGACGAAAATGTCCACAAAGTCATTCATGTCTGATCTATTACTTCTAGTACATCTTTTTTTTTTACACAACATTTCAATATAGATTGATATAAATAATATATATCAAATGATTTAAATATACACGACAAATCTACAATTTCCTTGACGTTCAATTTCTTGGTATTTAACACACACAAAAAAAGATCAGATTAAAGTTTTTGATTTATCTGAATTTGTCAGTCATGTTTAATAAGAACTCCAAAATGAGTGACTGCAATTTAGATCTTTAGATCATTTCCTATGCAAATGTGCTATATTGGTTGCCTTTTTCCATCTATTTTTGATAAAAAATTTGAGGTCAATTCCGTGAAGATATTCAAGTTTGGTATTATTTTGAATCTTAATTAGTGTAGTTTTGTATTCTGCAATAAAAAACACACTTGAAAAAAATTTGCCATGGTATAATAAAAATATTAATCAAACAATATTAAATTTTTATAAAAGCCTGCAACATTTCAGCACAGCCTTTAAATCAGATTTAAAGAATTAGAAATGGATCTGAAAGTGATTTGAAGGCTTTTCTGAAATATAAGGCCAAGTACTTTATAAATTTCCAAGAAGTCTATATTCAAAATCATAAAATAATACTGCTTATTTTCAAATTAGGAAAGTAATTATTATTATCTAAGCTCATTTTACCAACATATAGAATTATTGTTCCAGGTCCATCATCAACATGGATTGGCAGCTTTAAAATAGTGCAATTGGTTAATGAGAATAAACATAACAAAAGCACCAATAGCAGATCCCAGTTGTGTAAAAACACCACACCATAACAATGCTTTTCGACCATCATTTCTATAGAGTGTTGCCACAGATACCTTGGTAAAGGTCAATACAAATGCCTGAAGAATCCAAACACAAATCTGAAAAAATATAAAGATAAATAATTTGGCAGGTATAATGTGAGGAGAGGGATTTTTTCTTGTATAACCAAGCACTTAGCATTTCATTCTTGTTGTTTACCAGGTTTTATACTTGGGTGATTACAAACACTCACATCAAACTCCATCAACAGTTGTGTCTTCTAAACTGTTTATGAGTTTAAAAATTTCCATGTGGGTGTATAAAAATGTAACGCACAAAACAGTCACAATCCAGTGTATTTCAAAACCCTAATCTTCATTAAAATATCAATTTGGTCATAGGACTGATCATTAAAGGTGTAACAATAGATACAATTAAATGAAGTACCTATATAGAATACTTACGATTATTGGTGAGCCAGCTGGTTCATTAATTAATAAAGGTGATGGACTCATCACTGCCATTGCCATGGCATAGCCAGCAAATCCTGTTCCTACCATTGTTAATATCAATAATTTAACCATACTTTTTATTTGCACAAAAAATAAACCAAAACAAGCTATCGGGGCAGCCATACTGCTTAGTTTCACAGCCAAATGATATGATGTATTTCCATATGGTAAACAGGAATATGATTGCACAGAAGGAAGGACACCATTAGTTAATGCATTGATCCATATAGTTAAAAGAGCTAAAACGAAATATTTCATCGTACACAGTTTTATTGATGATGGTGATTTTTCTACCACAACAGGAGAATCTTGAATCAGTGTTTTTCTCTTTGGTTGAAGCAATTTGGAATTGGAATCGCCTTCATCTGCAGCGTTGATAAAAGCACCCTGAGTATTGCTGTCAGTCAGTTCATAAGAATTGGCAGAATCTAATGAAAATCCAACAGTGTAGTCTTCATTTAAATCAGACGAGGTTCCAATACTGTCGGTTTCAGAGAGAAACTCTTTTTTACAATAAGGTAAAAAATTGAGTAAGGTAAAGGCCAGACAACTCAGTAACAGCATTCCAAAGAGAAAGAAAAAGAAGATTTCTATAGAAAATTTAGGTTGATGATATTTTTGAATTGATGTATATTGGATAATGGTATCGAATGTTTCATTAACACCTGAATTTAAAGTTACATTGGTCCAAGTTGTTTGGTTGACACAGTAAATTTGTCCAGCACCTTGTCCCAAGGCCACTAAACTTGGTAACAGTCCACTTAAAGATTCTCCTATAAATAATGCTGTCATATATTGAGGTTTTAGTAATGCCATATAGGTATAGAAGGCCACAGATGTGGTACAGTCCACCAGTGCCAAAAAGAACTGTAAAATCAACAAAGCCACACTGTGTGCTGCACCACCAATATCAATCACTGTGTCCCAGAAAAAAGCCAGCAGAAGACAGGCAATGGCTCCAACCAATATTATCACATATATAACTGGAATTTCTCTCACTTTTTGTGGCCAAATATAATTTGATATAGTAAATATCAAAGGTCCAATATTAGCTATTTGGATAATGATAGACATGTAAGATGGCAGATTCCATTTTTCTGGTAAATTCTGTACAAGGATGGGTAACTCTACCCATAAACCATTGATGTCTATCCATGATGATATAGCAAATATAACCACCAAAGTAAACACAAAATAGTTGATATTCATGTTCTTTTTACATGGACCACACTTCATTTTGCTTTACACTGTGTTGGACTTCAAACTGAAAAGAACAATAATCAAAAACACAAATTATAAAAAATGCTATATGTTTATCTAAAGAGATAAAGTCAAAAAGTATACAATATTACTTTTTATTTCTACAAAAAAATTATCAGATAAAGTCATGTGTGTATTTAAGACATCTTGACCTCATTCAAACAGCTACTGATATCTGAAATTCAGCCGACACAGGAAATATTGAAATGCAATATGTGTATAAATAAACCAAGCACTAACGATTCGAACCGCAAAATGAAATCCAGAATCCAAAACAACATAATATAATACCATATAAGACACCTTATTCTAAGATCATCTGTACATCAGGTAGTTGACAAGATGAGTATAAATGACATATATGAATATTATTGTAGTCGATATTAAAACTCATCAAATCAATTGTCAGTCTGTTAATTAATGGTGTCATGGATCAAATTCAGCCAATAGTAATTAAATAAAATATCATTGATTATTAAAACAACCATATAATAGAACTTAAAATATACATACCAGTATTTTATTGACATGTATTGAAATATCATTTAAAGGGATTGTAAAGTGGTTTTCTAAAATTTGTATGTTTATCGGGATAGCATCAATTTTGCACCATTCCAATTTACAGTCAGATGTCTGTATCTTCTTGCAATTCCACTAAAACTGAGCAGCGTTTTATGGCGTCACCAATGCAAAGGGTCTTACATGATATAAGCATATTTTGTGATTACTGACGTCATGAAACACTTAGTTTAAATGGAATTGCAAGACATCTAGTTGAAAATAGGAATAGTGCAAATTGTCCCTGATACACATAATAAAATTAAGAAAAACTCTTTACAATCGAGTTCATTAGAAATATTAAAATAAAAATATAAACTTACAGTTTCTAACAAATATACCTATATTTTAATGATAAAAATTGCCATTTATATTCAAAAATAAACTATTAAAACATATTATTCCTTTTTCACTTTAAGTTTTAACAACTAATTTTCATGACTGCTGTTCCTCTAATTTCAGTAAATTTTGAACAGATTATAATACTATTTAATACCAAATGGCATGTGCTAAGAAGATAAGTTATTCTGGTGTATCAGGAACCTCAGATTTCAACAGAAAATGGGAATGGTGCATACAGATATTCTAAAAATACCATATTTTAATTTTGATCTAAAGGTACTAACACATTAAAATTCTCACCTACTTTTCAATCCTTTCAACACATCAACTAAATTATTTGTTAAAGCATAAACTTATATAACTGATGAACAGGTCAAATTACAATTAAAACAATAACTAGAACTGTAAACAGCTCTAAACGTGGCTCTACAGATCTTGGCTCATGACTCAAGGACCTTTAGAAGCATCAGATTCTTAACAAAGCAGATCAATATTGATTAAATCCCTGCTTTATTTAAACATTTCAGTTTTTGGTTGTCTGTAACACCATGATTTAACACTTGACAACAAATGCCAGTATACCTATGGATAGCTGACATTCAACTTTGAAAATTTCAAGCTAATTAAAGGTCAAAAGATGTACACTATCAAATATTGATAAAATTAAACAAGAAAAACCAGAAAAAACAAAAGCGATATTGAAATTTAAAACTTAATTCAAAACACAAACTTAGTCAAAATGTTGTAAATCTTAAGTTCTAAAAAAATTTGGTTGACATTTTTTTTTCATCACTTCTATGCTTTTTGCTTAAAAATAAGAAGAAAATCCAAACTAAATTGGTCATCAAGTTTGTTTGCTATTCAGACTCCCAAAACCTAATTCTTCACCTGTTTCATACCAGTAGATCCAATTTTGCGAAAATATCTCTATTCTATATTCAATTAACAAAAGACCATATCTAAATAGCTAGAAATATTATAAATTAGTACAAGCACAAGCTGATAAAGAAAAATGTCAAAGAAATCAAGGACTGGCAAATTCAACACCAATGCAATTAACATTTATTCATATCAAAAGCTGCACAATTAAACAGATATCAAATCTATGTGTTAAAAAGACAAAAAAGATAAAGTGTTTTTTTTTTAAATATGATGACATATATAATTGAGACTTTTACCTACAGTTGACACAAATATATCAATCATTACATCTCTTTATTACATGCCTGTATATATTAATGCTTTGCCTCTATGGTACTTCCATTAGTAATATTTTGTACACTATTTTGTACGACCAGTGGAATCTTGTCGAAACGTCAAGTTTAAGAAATAAAGTGATTGTTATCCATAAAGACTTATATTAAAAGACTCATTTGACTGCCTTAGAATCAATTTTGTACACATATTTCTGAATTCTTTTCATTTTTATGAAGTATGTTCACATCTGAGAATCGATTTTATCAATGTCAATTTTCATTTTTCATTTTTCTATTGTGTTCATAGACAAAGTTTGACCACCTATAACAAAAACTCAAAAGCTATTCTTTGAAAAAATTGTCAAAATCAAACTTGTCCCAGATCTTATCAATCCTTAAAAAAATACTTTCAATGTAAGTTTTGCCTTCTAAAAATCTAAACAACACTATATTTTGATCTTACTCTTTAATTAATACCATTAAATTAAGTTAATTTATCAAACCTTAATAATAAGTCAACAAACCTGTTAACCAGCAAACTTTACAAAATATTTGTTAACATTAGTAATCATTTCAAGATTTAACCAAAAGGTTAAAGAATCAATTGGTTTTGACAAAGTATGATCTAAACTTTAGCCACAGATGAAATAATACTACAATAATTTTGTCTTATTTCAATTCCTACAAAGATAAATTGATGAATTGTGATTCTGTATATATTGTCGTAGGACTGTAGATATTTTCAACAAATTATTTAGAACATTATACAAAAAGTAAAAAGAAATAACAGCTTATATACAGTCAATGATCAAAGACATAACAATACTGTATAATCTTTAATATCAAGGATTAAAATGTTTTGATAAAAAATATTGCAGTAAGTTTAATATGACATATTACCGAATTGCGTTAAAATAAAAAATAAATTCTTTTATATGCACTTAATGTTTCTTCATACTGTAATAAAATATATTCACAAGCTTTGACCCAAATTTTTTCCGGACATATTGTATTCATTTTGCCAGAAAATATCTATGGAACACAATGAGTGTCAATGCATTTCAACAATAATTTACTCTTAATTTAATTTCTTTTTTTTTTTTTACTCACTAAACAATTGTAAATTATTGATCTTTGATAAAATTTTCATTAGTTATTATAAATTGTTAATAAAAAAAATACTGTACAAAGAAATGATAATCAGTGTCCATACAACATGTTTCTCTTGACTTTGTAAATGTGCGTCAAAACAATGGATCCATTGGCCTAAAAAGCAAATAATAATTTCATTAAATATCTGATGAAATATTTTAAGCTTCAAAAGAAATTTGTTCGTTTGTTTCTTTTTAACGAAGTTCTGTAATGAATCCTTATAGGCTTATGTCCATGAATATAATTATATTGCTATACACTGGGCTTATGGCTACTATCTTTATTATAACAGTGCAGTCACTATCCATATATCTATTATTGATCAAATGATATTCATACTTAAAGGGATTCTGAAAAGGTTTTCTACATTTTTAATTTGTATCTATGATAGCATCAATTTGCACCATTCCAATGTTCAATCAGTCTGTAACTGTGGTCCCTACAATTCCATTAAAACAAAGTGTTTCATGATTTCACTGGTTAAAATTGATGCTATCACTATTAGTTTTTAAAAAACCTTTTTACAACCCCTTTGATCATTTCATTTATTATGATACATGTATGTTCCGTAATGTCACCATATATTGGTGAATAGTCTTATGCATCGTTAGCAGGTTGGTAGGCCTGGCCTTGGTAGTTGAGTTTAGCTGGTTGGTTGGTAGATGACAAGTTAACGTTCGCTTCCAGCGGATGCTGATATCGCAAACTAGGTAGTTGTTGGTAGTCGTAGTAGTTGGTAGTTGGATTGGATCAAATTGGATGATTCGGTGTTGTTGGTTTGGTTGTTGATTCTTCGTTAGAGTTTAGCAAGTATCACATCTATTTATACTTACGTAGGAACCTACTCATTGCGTTACCTGCATTGATGATGACGGACAAGGCACACTCACACGACAGTGTTTCAACAAAAACTGATATTTTCACGGTAATATTGTGAATCCTCAAAATACTTACACTCAACTAGCCCAAGCTGCACCCTTGCTGTGTCATGTACACTTCAAGTATCTTGTCCTTGAAGTTTGAAGGGCGTTCAGACATCATGATGTAAATTGCCGGTAAATTTTGTATTCTGCTCACGTTTGTTTACTATCCATACAGAAAGGGATAATTTTGTTTTTGTCTTAAGTCTTCAAATGCACCCACATTTTGAAACTCTTACTCTTTGTAATCATAGTTTTTGTGTAATGCATGATTATCATATTATCATTATAACCATATAGGCTTAGTATTTAATGATAAGAGCTCCAACTACATATTATGTGCTATCCGAGAATGATCTCTTAAATGTTATTAGAATGTTTACGGTTGTGTTCGTTATACTAAAATACATTTGGGATTTTATAACTTGCCGAAAGAAACTTCCGTATAAAAAAAGGATTCGGATATTTTCTTTTTTGTTTGTGTATGTTTTCTTCACAGTCACTGACACTGCCAAACCCCCACCAGTTTCCCTTAGTGTTATCCAATAACTGAATAGGCCTAAGACACAAAACTAATGAAAAGCACAGTATGGGCTTTATAATTCATTAAGAAGTGGATTCAAGTTCTCATTTAAGGCACCACCATGTTTTGAGCAACCGGAAGTTTACATTTTTAAGATGATTCTAGGATTATGAACAAAGACTTTTGATACAATTTTACTATTTTGCATTCAATAATATGGGCAAAAAGCACAAGAAACATCACAAATTAGAACGGCGATCTGATGATGAACATGAGCCGGGTATACTTTCACATTTCCTTTTCAATTTTTAACCGAAAATGAGCCAAATTTTTGCAGTCCGACAGTGTCAAGATTAGAATACTGTCAAGAAATTTCAATACAGTCAAGTAACCTAATTTCGTGGAAACCTATTATTCGTAGATTTTCGGAAATGATTAATGATTTACATGAGCGACCTTGCGCGACCTCCGCATTAGTTTGTTTTGATAAACATGGGTTTTCTGTACAATATCAGCTAGTAGATTGAATCCAGTAGTTTCAAGCAAGGTAATGTGTAATAATGTATACTTTGACAAATACAAAATGGCGGATTTCACTTATTACCAAACGTCACCATTTTTTATTGGCCGAATTTCCTTATAATCCCAAGCGGTAATCGGAATTCCACGTGTCGTCTGCTAGAATATATGCCAACGAATGAAGTCACGTGATCAACTAGCGGATTCTGTGTCAACAGAAAATTTCTATGGAATACAAAGTGGACCATATTCTTATGTTGTTTCAGTGACTCTTAGCAATAAATCATACTACGTATCTTATTTTGTCAGTCACTATTTTTTTTTTAAAATCATGGTTCTTTGAAGGAATTGTCACTAGTTATAATGAATTGATATTAATTATAAATATTAAGAGAAGTTAATTATACCACCCGGTATCCATACAACATGTTTTTCTAGACTTATTTATAGATCAAACATTGTGCACGAAAGTAGGTGATGCATTCTGCCGACGTTGTCGAGTTGGTTGCTCATGAAATATGGGTCAAAGTGAAGGATTCATTAAGAAAATCAAAATAAACCAATTTTAATTACGTTGTAGAATATCTGAGGAAACATCTAAGACATAAATTTAACTTTGACGAAATTCGGTGTTGAATCCTTATATCCACGAAAATAGGTTACACCACTGTATAATTAACAAAATTAAGATACCGGTACATTATATTCCATGAAAATAAAAAGTAACAAGGAAAGTAGGTTATCATTCAATCTTTGATAATTTATGTTTAGTTGATTTGTGTATTATTGTTTGTTGATCATAATGTAACCTTTCATTTTAAGAACCAGAGCTAGAAAAACCCATCACCAAACCTTTGAAATTAGTTTTAAAAGTTGGTCCACCATCAGACAGTTTATCCGATAACTACAGCTCTCCTGCTCATGATGAAGGAGGTAAAAAACATAAACATAAGAAAAAAAAGAAGAAGAAATCGAGTGAGAAAGAAAAACATAGAAGCGAAGAGGTAATATAATAATGATATCATTATCAGTTTTGAAAGACGCCCACTAAACCTAGTTTCGACGTAAAAGAGTGTACCCTATGAATTTATTTGAGCCTTAACGATCTGAATTGCAAAACGAAACAACATATGTTCAAACATTAGTTACAGCTAATGAACAGGAACAATCATAAGTGAGTAAGTATTTCATAATGAAAAGTGGTACCAGGTATCTAGAAGACTAAGCATAAAGCTTTCATTTAAGATATAGCCACTCTAGTTTTAGTTTAAAGACAGCCCTCTTGAACGTTCATCAAATTAACCTTGTGACCTAACTCCATTACGTCTGTTTCAACCAATTTAATTTCTACCTTTCCAGCTCTGGCATTTTGTGACGCAGTGTTTATCAGGTTAGGTCAAATATTCAATTTGCCGAACATTTAAGAGGCTTGTCTGAAGTGACTATATTAAAAATAAAAGCTAATCAAAAAACTGAACAAAATTTTGGTCTAATTTTGATACGACTGAGTAAGCATATTAAATGTATATTCAATATTTTCAGTGTCACGTCTGCCATATCACAATATTGATTTCTTGCTTAAGAGTGAGCTGTTGTACTTCTTTATGACATATAACATATTACAAAGATATGATTTGATCTTCTATTCTGTTAATTAATGAACAGATATGCTTGGTCATATAAAAGAAATTTTGAAATAGAGAGTAAATTGAAGAAAGGTGAGCTAAAGACTAATTTTGTACTGATGTATTGCAGGGAAGTCGAAAGAGGAAAGCTGAAGTACAGGTAGATGAATATGAAAATGAGGAATCTCCATTAAGTAAAAAACAGGCATTAGACCATGATGATCAAGGCATTACAATTGTAGAAGAACAAACTGTAATTAAAAATCCAGAAAGCAGATTGGTAGAAGTACCACAAAATGTCAATGATGGCGCGGTTTTAAAAGTCTGTTTACAATATCTTCAAAAAACAATACAACTGTAAGTTTTTAATTTAAGGCTGTCTTCATTTTTTGTGTGTATTCATGTTCAATAAAATGATTACATGTTTGTTACATGAAAGCGAATGTTGAGATCTGGTCATGAGTGGAGATTTTTCAACCATGATTGAAATGATTTAAGTTGTTCAAATGAAAGAAATAACTGTATCAATGTATTCAGAAGGCAGTCCATGTTGAATATCTTTGGACAGTTAGAAATGGAATATCAACTAGAAAGTTTAAAAAAAAGAAACAGGCTAATAACACTGTCTGTATCATATTTTCCTTATAACACACTGCAATGGGTTGTCAATCTCCTTAAGCTCATGAAGGTCTAGAATCTCTATGTCAAGTAAACTTATTCTTTCAGTAAAGATACCAATGGATTTTTTGCATTCCCCGTCACTGACGCTATAGCTCCAGGATATTCCAGTATTATACATCATCCAATGGATTTTAGTACAATGCAGATTAAAGTAGAAAGTGAACAATATCATAGTGTAGGAGAATATAAGGTAACATCTTTATTGATTTATCTAGATTATAAACGTTTATAAATCTAATTAATTTTCTTAGTTGAATAAACATTAGAACTTAAACATCCTTTGACGATCATCTTCCCTAGATATGACTATTAGTTACATAGGGAAAATGATAGTCATAGTTTTAAGAGGAATGAGCATTTGAGAATTTAGTGACCTTGTAAAAGTCATCTGTCTATATCATACAGTCAACCTAGCTGTAAAGGGTACAAATTATCTTGAATTGGTTAATGCCATGAGGTTTAGTCCCAGTAAAGTATAGTCACTTTGATGGTACAAACAAAAAATATATTAACTTCCAGATTTGTGGAGTCTGAAAAAATGGATATTGGGGCTTGAACAGCAACAAGACAGTAACAATTTAGTATGTTGATATAAAGTTTTGTAGTATTATATATTATTATGGTGTTTACATTTGTCCATTGCAGAAAGATATGGTATTAATGTGTAATAATGCTATGACTTACAATAGACCAGAGACTATATATTATAAAGAAGCTAAACGCTTGCTATTTATTGGTGTTAAACTACTAAGTAAAGTAAGTAAAATCAGATTATTTCACCATTCTGTTGAAATCATTTACAATAGTCATTGATACCATCATCTGTCACCATTTTCAGCCATGAAATGAATTTGTTACTGATGTTGGGTAAAAATGTTAAAATGTGTTAATTGGCTTTGATATTGCCCAATATGTCAAAATTAACCAAGAAATATGCTTGTAACTGGACTTTTGATCAAGCTGATTTGTCTCATCTTTTTTGTTAGGAAATTGTTTTTTGCTATAAACCAGAACAGCAGGTATAATGTACCTAGATGTACACTTTTCTTAATATTTGATTACTACAGGAGAAGTTATTACATATGAAGAAGAGTATGAGTTTTCTAGCTAATTTGTCATTAGAAGAAATAGGATTAGATGAAATGGATAAATCAGCAGAAGTGGTTAATCAAATCAATGAAGAAGATCAGAGGCAGAAAGAATTACAGAAGAAAAAAGAAATACAAAATAAAAGGTTGGTTAAAATGAGATTTTATATTGTAAACATCTTTTGTATATTGCTATAGCTATAGCTTAAACTAATGACCACATTCTAATTAGCACTGAGATGTATGTGGAATGTATTTTTAAGAAATATACATATTATTATTATTATTATTGTATTGAAATCATTTAATCTATGACATTGGTCTCAATAGCATTATTGGTGTGTAAACGCAACTAATCACGTGATAGATGAAAATTATTTATATTCAGATATTTTTATTAATTCAATTTTCACTGTTTCACAAATCTAAGATTGCGTCAGAGTTGTGCTTTGATGACGTTATAGTGTCATGTGACAACTACAGAATATCCAGATCTATAGAAATTCAAATATCACAATATGAACTAAGAACAATATATCTTGATTATACATTAAATAAATGTAATTGTCTATTGTAATTGCATTCCCAGCTGAAGAGTTTGATTTCAGTTAGCCATATAACTTTTCGCTCTATGTCCATATAGATGATGGAACTTTTTTGATTGTAGTTTAGGAAGATTTGAGGCTGTTCCTGATAATTTATCACCAGAAGAGATTTTAGCTCAAGCTCAAGCTGCTGCTAAAGAAGCTAAAGAAGAATTAACATTACGACAACCAAGAACAGACGTAAGTTATTATCATATCTTAGTAATTGCCTCTTAATACAGTTTGTACAAGTATTTTTTAAATTGATTTTGACAGTTAGTACATGATTTATATTACACTTTGACAGTTTGTACATATAATTTTTTTTTTTACTTAATTTGATAGTTTGTACATGTATTCTTTTTTTTTTTAATAATCTGACAGTTTTAATTGATTTGATATTTGAATTAATTTTGCAGTTTGTATATGTATTTTATTTCATTTTGACAGTTTGTATTCTTGAGGAAAAGAGAAGATGGAAGTACAACATTAAATATTTTAAATCCTCATAATGATGGTAGAGGTAAATTTAAATTTCATACACTCACTTTAGCTCTCTTAAGTTTTAACCATAATAATCTAGCTTTGCATAGTATAAAACTCAATAGGAAAGAAGGAAAATGATTTTTTTTATATTAGGCCTTATGTTTAACCAATTTTCAATCAGATGTCTATGGTTCCTTCAATTCCACTAAAACTGATTTGTAATTTTGTGATTGATCATCAAACACTTAGCTTTTAGAGATTGCAGAAACCACAAATGTCTGATTCAAAATTGGAATGGTAAAAAATATTATCTTTGGTTATTTGATATTTACAGTCAGTGAAACAGAGAAAGTAGTTAATATTGGATCATTGGTGGGTAAATTAACAACTGGTACTGGTTCTTTAAATACATTTAAAGAAGACAAACGCAATAAAATTACTCCAGGTACAACTATGTGTATATGTTTTTTGTAAACAGTAAAATAGATTAACAGGGTTTTAGGAGTTTCAACTGACATCTCAGTTGCTGTTTTGGCTAACGATACACAGAATGCTCATCTGCAGGCACATGATTTTCAATTGAAGGTACTGAAGATCAATGATTTTAGATTTTAGGGTGAACATAAGAAAGGAATTCATGTGCCTAGGAATAACATTCCAGGTGAAATTCTAACTTTACCCTTTTAACACTAATTATTGCTCTACACAGGATACACAGGATGCTCATCTGCAGGCTACATAATTATATGATATATACCTAAGTGGCCTTTACGAAGTGAGACATAACATTAACATTATACGTACTTCACATGTCATATTACTTGGAGTTCAGGGTATATGACTTTTATTTTATTTACACTCAGTGTTTAAAGGGTTAAAATGCTATTCTGGTCTCTTTCAGTTAATTATTTAAACTATGGTCCATTTAGTAGCTATGCTCCAACATATGACTCGTCATTTTCTACCCTTTCTAAAGCTGATAGTGATTTATTATTATCTACTTATGGTGATGAGACTGGTGCTCAATATGCTTCAAGGTAAATAATGTATTGTTTTATTGGTACTTCAAGTGAAAGAGAACATTTAGATTAAATTTTGCTTCAGATTTGATAGTGAAAGATGTGATCAATCAAACACAAGCGCACTTAACCAATCATGAATTGAATCATCAGCCAAGTAAGTCATGATGAATTTGCCATCTGTAGTGGCTCCACATCATGTATATTTCTGCTCACAGTTCTGTGCAAAATGCTAATTGTAAAAAAACTGCGAAATAGCCTACCATAATGTCTGAATTAATATGTACTGTAATAGCATTTGTTGGCAATGTTCATAGAGAAAGTCATGTTGCTTGCTACAATTCATACAGTAGAAACACAAAATTCCTCCTCCAATGCACAATCTTACTTTCCTGTCAGAATTTCTTAAATTATTGCCTGATTGGAATATTACTGGCTTATAGTAGTGATGCCCAAATTGTCAAATCTTATCTAGTCTCTCATAAGTCTTTTTTCATTCATGAAATAACAATTACTGTACTTATCTTTATCTTTGATCATGTAAATCTGACTTATTATAGTGTTATGGATTTTGTTGATACTGCTGGTGATTATGCTGTTAAAATGGTGAATAATTTATTAGACATATTAACAAAATGTGAACACTCTAAAACCCAGAGAACATTAGAAGCTAGAAGAAAAGAAGATGAGAACAAAGAACCTGTAAGTAAACCTGATGATAAACCATGCCCTCTTTTTGAAACTTTATAACTTTTTAATTTTCTAAGAAAGTTTTGATATATGCCCCATTGGCAAGTCGCCAGTCCCTGTCTTAAAATTTTTTATTGACATGAATGATTTTTAATGACATGTTTGTGAGGTGAAGGAAAGATGATAGATTCTAATATTCATAATGTATTTTTGCTAATTATAGGCCTCAAGTGAACAGTCTACTGTAGATACTTCTATAGTTAAAGAAGGTACGTCTTGATTTCAACTCTGATAAAGTTATTGCTTACAACTATTGCTTGAGGCCCAAAAGAATATTTGTATGTTATTTCAATTTCAGATTTTTTGGATTCTGTCACATTTTCACTTCTGACATAAATATATTAAAGCAAGAAATTTCTAAATTGCTACAGTCTTAGTCATTTATTTAAGCAGGTTGTTATTATTTAAAGGGAGTGACTAAACACTTAAATGGGGTCAAAATGTTGCATTTTCCATTGCACAGATAATGCCCAATTTTGGCTGAAAATTCTCTAAATAGTTTCTGAATGCATTTATAATTTTTTCTAGAGTCACCAGTAGATAAAATACAACAACAATTAGATCATACAGCTAGTCTAATAACTTCTTTACATGATAAACAGAAAGAAAGACTATCATCTAAATTACCATCTCATTTAGCTCATATACCTGGTCCTAGTGAGAAGGAGACTGAACTAGGTAAGACATTCATTTACTCAGATTGAAACGTCTACTATGGGTTCTGCATACTTGAAATTTCAACTTTTCTTCCATGGAGATGGTAGCTGATATATCAAAGACTACAATTGATTTGTAATTATCTCCCTTGAACCACAAGAATGAAATAGTAGAAGATTATGTAGCATGAAATGATTTTATTTCAAAACATTAGTCAAGAATGTTATTTTTATACTGAATAGTCCTATACTAGATGAATGTTTCTATTCCTTTTATGGATTGTTGTTTTTCTTTCTTCTAGCTGAAAAAGTTACACAAGAATTGACTGCTCTTGCTAAAGCAGCTGCTCCACAAGACATTGTTAGTATGAATTCAGTGCGGAAAGCTATGGGAATAACATTGAAACCAATTTCATCATCGGGTGATGGCCAGCAATCAAACACACAACCATCATCAGACACCCAGCAACATGCAGACCCCCAACAACCAGCAGACACCCACCAACCAACAGCATATGCCAATTCTACTGCACCAAATGATAATGTCAGTTCTCAACCAATAAAAACAGAAGAAACTGATATGGAAACTACTTTTCAGGAATTGTTGGAATCTAGTGCTTAATTATAAATACCTTCAGAGATTGTAGGTACTTTCTCTACTCAAGAAATTTTCTACTGCATCGAAGGATGTTAAAATTGTGACCTTATGTCTAAAGAGTCCTTAAGTTTCTGTTGAGAAATTGATGTAAAAAGATATCTTATTATTATGTAAGAAGGGTGGGAATAACAAATGAATGGAATGAAACTGTGTTTTATGTCTTAGTTTTCTCAACATGGTTAGGCTAATGAAGATGTCAAAACCATACAGTGTACATAAAGGGAAATGTGTACTGCCATGAAATTCAACATGTTTGTTATTTTAATGTGTATGTGGTCATTTGTTTTTCATTTAACATAATAATCATCATTATCATCATCAAAAAAAAGTAACTTCATAAAGTGTTATATGTATATGATGACACAAGAAAATTACACAGGAAGAAAAAGTTTCTTCTGGAACACTTGATGTCACTCTGTAAATGGTTTGTCATTTTTTTTTGTCCCTTTTAGACGTATATGTATTTGGTATGTCAGAATTTGACAGTATTTTGAATACCGAGGATACTGACTTTTTCCATCTATTATAAATAACAAGTTTAGTTATTTTCATGAAGAAATTTATTTATTCCATGTTATACATGATTCAAACATAACAACAAATAGTATTATATACATATCATTATACAACAAAATATTACTTTTATTGTGTATACTAAAGGTTTTATAGCCTTTTTAATAATTACAGTTTCTAATTCTGCCAATAGCGATGACTGGTCCAAATGTCTGTGGTTCCAGTTATTCCAATAGTAATCTTTAGATTATATGAACAAAATTCCTGGCATATCTAGAAACTATCTGTGTCCCTGATAGTCTCTGAATTCTATGTAGACAACCTATAGGTAATACGTCAAATTTAAAATAATGTTATTCATAAAAGCATACAGAAGACCTTTTAAAAATGTGTCTCAATCATCTGTCATGATAACTGTTTTGTACACATACAATTTTATTATTGGCATTTTACTAAAGGTTTTCAAGAGATACCAAATTAAAAGAGCTGTTGAAATTGAACACAAATAATCACACACATATATTTAAAACACAAGGTGGAGGATCCACTGTAGTTATGTTACAATAACAGTATTGATTAAACAAATTCAACAGTATTATTTGTCAAGCATCTTAAAGGTGATCTGACATTAAGGAGGGAGTTTGCTTCTGAAACAGTACATAACATTGCAAGAACATACAAAATCATTACTAGTAAACATGAGGTCAAATGTTATGTAATGTGGCAAGTAACATTATTTATAATTTTTAACTTATATCATTAAATTCATTTCAAATATATTCCATATTGGTAAAACTTCAAATAGAGAAAGCATGTAAATATCAAGTTGCTGCGATAATATCAATTTCTGATTAACAATCAATAAAGATTTGATTAGTATAAAGCTGATTTATATCTCAATATACAAAATGACATAACATAATTTACATACAATTGTTTCTTAAACACTTATTGCATCCCTTTATTTCACAACCATAAAACAATATATATTTATAAACTTTACAACCAATAGCACTTAATATTCACAACCAACTATAAGAAATATTTGAGGCAGTTTCTATGAAAACAACATTGATATACAGCTAATGATTTCAATGTGCTCCTGTTTTGATCAAAAATTTCTAGCTATTTCTTTACGCAGTGAGTTTTTAATGCCTATAGATTTCATACTATACAAAATGGCTGAGATTTTTCATGTCTCAAACAATTTTGATCATCAGTTACCTTCAAATTATCAGGACAAATATATATAAATCACAACCAACACGTTCACCAGTTTTAGATAGCTCTTACAGAATTATACATGTATTAGTTTAGACTATAATTCAGTTCCTAATACCTTCAACAAATTCAGGTCACTTTAAAAAAATGGGCAAAAAAAATATGTGTTCACAATCAACATATGAAAATTATAGTATTGCTCAGTGATTGAGCTGCTACTATAACATCCTACATTTTGTCAGTTTTTACAGTGCTGAATTTAAATGCAAATTGAATCATACAACAACTGAATGGCACTATTTGACTAGATTAGTATAATAACATAATTCAATGTCCAGTTTAGTTTCATTTTATTTGTCTTACTTTATATCATTGTCAATGTCATGAAGGGATTGTAAAGAGGTTTTCTTAATTTTTCATGCTTTATCACATAAAGCCAACAATTAATGTTTCACACAACGCTTCGTTTTGGTGAAATTGAAAGAACCAGGTCTTATTGAAAATTGGAATAGTGTAAATTGATGCTATTAGTGTCCTCAATACATGTAAGTCCAAAAAACTCTTTACAATCCCTTTAATATCAAATTTCCATTTGATTTGAACCATGCTGATACTTTATGTTAAACCCACACCTATTTGATTGATGATTGTCAGAAAACAGCTTTGTGTATATTTGGAGCTTACACTAATTCTATCTATGACTTCCTTGATACCAATGAAAAATTGACATGACCATTTAAAAACTATGTTCCAGAAGTGAGCTGAACTTTAACTCTATGACTAACAGTAAATACAGGATGTAAAGTTTGTTTAAATTTACTGTCAACTATAAGTTTCTTTCCACATAACATTTCCCCCCAATTTGGTGTTATTATTCTGTACCCTAACAATAGATTCTCAAATTCATCTTTTGTCATAGTGATAGTTAGTGAAACTGGTAAACTGTTCATTTCCATTAGAGATTCCATTTTTCCATTATGGCACAAGCATAAATTTCCATTTGAACATACCACTCCATAGGAAAAAGGGTTCATGCCAACTTGATCCTTATTTTTCAAAATTTGGGATGAAATTCCCACACCAAATAAATAACCAGAATCAATATTTCCCATTTGATTTGAGTTTTTCTCCACAGTAACTGACCATAATGAATTACAAGGAACTGTTTCAGCAGTATATGTATTAGAAGTAAAGCCCCAGGTTATAAGATATCTACTCTGGACTCTAGGTTGATCTGGTTTACCAGTTGATACAGCCACTGATAGAATAGTAGGTAATATAGATGTACATTGGTCTACTTCATCACCTGTAAGGTACAAATATTATTTTGGTTTGGAAAATTAAGTATTAGGGTACATGTATTTTTTTACTATGATAATAAACAGAAGTTACCTGTGCTACATACACAATACTCATGAAAACATAATATGTGCAAAGACTATTACAACAATTTCATCAATATATCAAAATCTTCATGTCTTTCACTTGCCTACATTGATGTTGTCCCAAACAGTGTGTCTTTTTATTATGAATTTGCCAGTTTTCCTCACTGATCCTTTGACCCAGCCTGTAAATGATCACAGATAATCTGAGAAAGACCAATGCCAAGAGTTTTAACTATGGACCATCTAGTTGAAAGAGGTTTTTACTTACAAGAAAAGGACTGAACAAAACTGAGAGAATTTTCTCGACATTTTGTAACTATCAACTTTAAGTCTTCCAATCTTGGTTTACTATCATTAAATGATGTGAAGTTGGTTTCTTTTTTACTCATTCTGAAATAACATAGCAACCATTTATTTTAATTGGTATCTCTCACGTCATGTGCTGAGCTAATTACATGTGTGTCTGATAGATTGATGACTAAACTGTTATTAAGACAAACATACATAATTTTATGAAAGAAAATATGCAATTTTTTGAGTCAGAAAGAAAAAACATGATCACATTGGGAGTTGCATATTGCTTATTGCAAAAGCAAAAAGAGTTCTGATTTCACTGATAATGTGGCATAGAGTGATTGATATATTTTAAAATAGTTACTTCAAAATGGGCTTCAAAGCACCATTCTCTAAATTCTTCAACCTTTGTATTAATTACTTACTCCTTAGAAAGTTTATCAACTTGAGTTAAGAGTGGTTCAATTTCGACAGATTTCTGTAATATTTCTTGATCAAATTCTTCATCAAGAAGTTTTTTGCTTGTTTCTGCTAAATTTTCAATAGATTTTAATAACTTTTTATTGCCTTCAGTATGTCCCCTATATAAGGAAGTGTTGTTGGATTTCTGTTTCAGTATTTTATTAACTAATGATTGTTTCTGCTGATCTAAAGCAGATGTCAAATCATGTATCAGACGGCGATATTGCTGTTCTATTTTTTCTGCAGCTTCTTTATGAATTTTCTAAAAAAAAAAAAAAAAGCAAAAATGAAAATATGATATATCAATGTAAAGTCAACAATTTCATTAAGGTCTTTTCAGTTACCTAGGTAACAGAAACAATTTTCTCACCTCTGTAAGGTACCTGGAAAAAAAAGCTCATCCCTATTGAAGGACTCCTAATAATGTAATCACAGTAAATGTTATATTCTTACCTCTACATCATTTGTGAGATCTTCCATTTGACTATTTTGATCAGATATTGTTGACATCATACATTCTAATTTCTCTTTACTTTTTATCACACTGTCCTGTTAATAATAATTAGTCAAAGTTTTACTTGAAAAGTATTTAATATAGTGTAAGTTTAATCCAATCATAGTTTTCTGGAATTACATCAACCACAGATATCAAAGTGCAAAAAGTGTTCCAAATATATTTAAAAAGGCAGGAAACAATCTTTTGAATCCCTTTTAGCTCAAATAATGCAATTGAGAAGCCATTTTCAAACCATTCCTGGCAATTGATTTGATACATCATCAATAGAATAAAATAAATTTTTAATTAAATGACATCAACTAACATGAATAAATGTTACATAAAATTCTGTGTTAAAAATAATCAATGTTGAAATTAAATACTTCATTTTGATGTGTCTTCATTTGACTTTTTTCCAGAAGTCAGTTGCAATGTTCCTTACCTTAATTGTTTTCCAAGCAGCATCCAGTGGCATTATTTTGTGACCAGAATGTTTTCCTACCCCTTCACAAACACATAAATGACAGACTAGAACTTTACATATATCACAAAATATTGTGGCTGTTTCAGTGTTATGGTCTTTACAAAATACTGGTTTGACGTCTGCTGATCTGTTGGAAGGTCTACATAGTTTATGATGCTGCAACTGTCCTCTCTTAGGATGGTATATTTCCAAACATTTTTGACAGTACAACACAGAACACTTTTGACAAAACCATTCAGCTTTTGATGATGAGTCTGCTTCACACAGTCCACAATTCTCATTGGATGGCGTATATTCTTCACTAAAGACTGGTAGGTCTGAGTCTATCTGATCGGACATGTCTAAAGAATGGTAACTGGATGAGGAAAGGTCCAGACTTTTACTTTTAGTCATTGTATTGCTTTGTATTTCTTGAAATCGACATACTATATTTTCTAATGCTAGATTTTTTGGAAGTGTGGCCATTTTGTTTTTTGACATAGTGTGCATTTTCCGACATGATGGACATTCAAATCCTGAAATGAGAAAAATTAAAAAATTTCTAGGCAAAGTACCAATAAGCTTAGAGCTTATTTTACACACGCTTTGTGTTAAAGTGTACTATTGAACTACTCACATCTTGTGTGTCCTCAAAACAATCAATAAAATAAAGCCTTTCAACTGACCTTCTTTACCAGATTTGATCCTGGAAGTTATGATATCTTGAAGACATTTTTTACAGATGCTGTGAGAACATGGTAACATTAAAGGATCAGCAAATAGTTCCAGACAAACTGGGCATGTCAATTCATCTTCCATCATATCATAGGTCATATCTGAAAAACATTTGAAAATTAAAACATTATGAATACCAATAGAAACTTCATGAGTTAATTTGCTTAACACAGTAGTATCCAACATCAGCATCCATTTAATTTATCCTATCCTTGTAGCACAGTTATTTATGCATCTGTACAACTGTGTTCTTTTTACTGCCATTTTCTTCAATATCCTTGTATATCAAAATAGATGTGCCAATATAACTTAATACAATATTTCCTTGAATCAATTCAAAACCATACCAGATGTTCTGATGTTTTTTTTTTTTTAAAAGTTTGTGTTTCAATACAAGAAAAGCTTAAGCCAAATATATAAAACTACTTTCAAACAGTTGTCAATTTAGCAAATTACAACAGCTGCTGTTTTATATAATAACAAATTATAAATTTAAAACTTTAAAACACTCTGTAACAAAAGCCTACATATTCAATTATCGATAAGACACAGAATGAGGAATATAAATGATATCGAAGACTATAAAATAGTCTCTTTTATCAAGTGGTAGTAATATGATAAGCTCCAGTAATGGCTATCAATAAGTTTTCAATCAATTTTTCATTAGAAACAATGGCTAGTGTCTGATTCCGAGCACTGTAATAGATTATAGAAGCTTCTCATGTAGAAAACATAGTAATAAGAAACCACTCAACTATAATTTGGAAATCAATTTTATGGTCGATTTTGTACAATGTGAAACATTTGAGTATTTTGTAAGTTACAGGTGTCTTCTGAAGGTTTCAAATCACCATTATCTCATGTTCTCTATTTCTATCATGGCAAATATAATCCCCAAAACATTCATATTAGCATATTTGATAACATAACCAAATGTCACTGCCCAAAACATCATATTCATTCCTCTAAAAATCAGCACCCAATTTCACAACTACCATAGAAAAAATATTGTATTATGTTCATCATCAGATTTTTGATGAATTTGTTGATACATATGTATTTGTCAGCCCAAAATCAATGGCTACATTTCACTGACTCTCAGTCAATATGAGTTACTTAATATAAAAATTTAACATGTATACCAGTATATATAATATCTTTCAATTATTATACATCAATGAAAAATTTGGATTTACACATGAAAAAGTTACTTTATTCAAATTGGCCTCAATTCCTACAGGTAACAGGTGGTGATTCATTCTTCTTCTTTGAATGAATGAATGAATGAATGAATGATCAGCCATCAAAGACATTTAAATATCAGTGTAAACAGATAAATAAGATAACACAAGATGCCTAATCAAAGACATGCAATGCCATGTAAGGTACAAAAAAGCCTTGTGTTAGCGAGAAAATTTGAATTTTCCTCCAGAAGAAGATCTTAAAATTAGGAAGACAAATGTTTTACATTTACATACCACTGCACCTTATGAGTGTAGCACTATAAAATAAATACCATCATGAATGATATGAATGCATCAGACGTCAACTGTCAATATTTATCTGGTATAGTATTATACACTACATTCAGATGAAAATATAAAAAGCCTGTAAGGTATTAATGATATAAGAAATAGATAACAACATAATATTTTGAGTATATACATAGGCCTAAAATATTTAAACTTTTTAATATATTGCATGATTTGTATGGCTTGACATGCATGCATGTATTTAAATATCAGTGTAAACAGATAAATAAGAGATAATACAAGATGCCGAAGATGCCTTTTTCACATTTTTAGAACTAAAGCAATGACAAATCAAATTTTGTGAAAATTAAAAAATTGATGGGACTCTGCCAAATCAATATCTCCATTCAAAATATAAAATCCAAGGTCAAAATTTTGATATTGATGCCAATAAAAAACCCAACATGAATCTATTAATCACACTTGTTACCTTTTCTTAGAATATTATCAAATTATGCTTCAGCAACTAAAAACAGGAGTTTCCGATTCCACAGAACATTCAAATTTTTATTTAGCCTTGGTTATTAAGAATTGTCAAATGAACAATTTCCAGTCTGAAAAGTTCTTTACCTACATGTGCTTATACTCAACTGTTGTCAGGTTTAAAATGAAAAATAATACTGTGTGGCCATTTAAGTTTGTCAACCTCTAATATCGAAAGGGCTAACTTGCATAAAGTTTGTTTAACATTAAGATTGGACAATACCATTGCAGCATTTCTATGCCAATTTAAAATGACCCCAAATCTAGCTGACAATGTTTACTACTTCTACAGGAGTTTGTATTTCTCATTTTCTAAAGGATATGAACTGCTCAGACCTGAAAGTATCCAGACCACTAATTATCACAATTTACTATCTGATTGGTCCTACAAATCAAATCATTTCAACAGCAGACACATCACATGGCTTCAAATATTATATTAGCAGACTCATAAACATAATTTGAAAAATTGCAATCATGGATTGATTCATGTACAGTTTTTGTACATTTATCATGACCTTAAAGTCATTTATTGTAATTAACCCTAAAGTAACCATATAAAAACTAACTATAATTAGCAACTAGTTCGTCAAAAAGTCATTTAATTACCTGTTACAGTCTGTCACACCCTTAATGAACCATACTAATTACTACATCACAAATCATTGATGTTTTCTACCTTTCTGGACTCTCAAATTAGAGAGTACTCACACATATCCAATGAACTTTTTCAACCCTACATAAAACAATTTGCATGGTCCAGTAAATCAACTTTACTTTGTCTTTTCTTTGGTTTCAAATGTTAAATGTTTCCTTACGCCATATTTTCAATACTCTCAAGTTTCAGGGACATTAACGCATCTTGTACCTTCAGGTATAAGCTTATATCTCAAGTCTTGTTCACATTAATCTCAAGATAAAAACTGCTCATTCATTCGTTCATTCTTTTCCCCAGTTAGTCTCATCCAAAAACAGGAAAGTGAGTTGAATAAAGACCAATGTAAGTAGTTTGCATTAAAGTACCCACTTATTTAGCCATGACTTGCATACTGAGATCAGCCAATTATAAATGCATACTTCATGTTATTTAATCTATGTAACAAATTGGTTCAGAAGCTGTGTTTGATGTTTTAGAATTAGTATAAAACTTGCCAAACGATTAAAATAAAATCAAAGACGTACCACACATGTATGTTTAAACCTCCATTAACCTCAAACTATATTAGTAATTTGTCCTTCAACACAGTTATAGAACACACCATAATTAACATCCTTAATATCTCATGTATTGTACATATCTTGGCTAAATGGAGTCCACATAACACTTTTTTCTACTAGCACAATAATAGAACACGTCCTTGATTGACAAACGTAATTCTCACTTGAGAAGAAAAACAAATATTTCTTTAGCAAATAATTGTTTCTTGATGACTGAATGTATGTGAGAGTTGACAACAAGCTGGTTCATTAAACAAAACAATGGGTAGATTAAAGATACAATACCCTATAAATTACAAACCTTATTTAACATGCTTGAGTACCCATATCTTCTAATCTAGTGAGATATGTCAATGATCATGTACTTAGAAGAAAGTTAAAACCATTTAAAACTACATTATATAACAATTTTCTATCTTCAATTTTCACATGAGCGCTTTTAAAATCTTGGTGCAATCAAATAAGGTTTAGATTAATTCATTCTGTTTTTGTTGGGCCACATATTCATATGAATAGTTTCATAGGGCAATTCTTGAGAACACTACTTGAATAAATATTCAAATTTTTCCATCTTTTACAAATCAGTAAGAATTTGGCTGCCGACTGGTAAAGAGATTTTAGACAGCAGGCTTATAAACAAATTTTTATAAAGTAAGAAAATGACTTGCCCTTGGATGCATTAAAACTCCTAATTGTTTGTCTCTTTAAAGTCAGACTTGTGTACTGCACAAGTTGTCCAGAAAAAATAACTTTAAAGGATTTTTCAGATGTTTTAGAGTGACTGGTCCAACAAAGACTATACATTGAACACATTCTTTGCCTAGCATTCCTGTGGGTAATTTTCCCACCACCCATCTTAAACAATAACTACTCTGATGAGGTGAGAAAGAATAATTAGGTCATTAGATACAAAATTATCTTTTTTTTCACTTCACTTATCTTAAAGAGCAACCAACCATTCAATTCAAGGCTATCAGATTTAAACCATTGGCTACAAAATATTTTCATCATTTGTTACTGTTTATCATACATATGGGAGCCTTGGTGTCTCACTATCCTACTTTCCCAGTTTGGTGTTTGGTTTCTCTTGTCTGTGATGCAGGTTAAATGGCCAAATTTAATCCAGCACAACTTGCCTAAATTGACCTTATAAAACCTGAAAGGTTGCAAAAACAACTGTCAACCTGACACTTCTTTGAACATAACTATTCATTTTGAGGAAAGAAATCTAATCTAAATCATCATTTTTTTTTATCTGATATAAATTGCATCTGTTAGGCTATTCCGAAACATCTGTGTCTATTCCAGCCTCTAAAACATATTTTGACAGCTGGAGAATAGTCAGATGTATGGGGATATACAAAGATGACTTTTTTGCAACATAATATTAAATAATCTTAATGATGACTATAAATGAGGTATTGGGCATCGCCATAACTTTTCTTTCGTCAGTATGTTTGGCTGAGCACATAGTTTTAAATGGCTGAGGGTTTCAATGGAACTGTAGACATAGATGATGTAGGGGGATTATGATGGTATGACTGAACTGCAAATATATCCATCTTTCTAAATATATCTGAATATGGCGGGTCAAATTTGACCACAAGTGATTCAAGAAAGCACAAATATGAAACCTGAAAACAAATTCAAACACACACATATTTCTACTCCATCAAACTAATGAGGCCATATCACAACATCCCACTCCGATAGGAAACAATCAATCACACAAAATTGGCCTTGTTGTATTATCTAATCTGGAAGAATAATGATTTTACTGAACAATGTGTAATTACAAGACCTGAGGCCAAACTCACTTCATACATTATCTTAAAGTATCCTTCAGTTTTAATTTTAGATATGAGA